TATACCCTAACTAGCCTCCGTACCCTCTCTGCGGCACTCGGTCTCTTCAATCAGATTCAATCTCTTGTAATAAATGACTCTATTTAGCATTCAATGTCTTAACCAAAGACAAATTAAGCGCTCCCTTGACTATTTCCACAGAGGTCTTTCAGGGCTCTCCATTGAGGCCGGGAACTTTTACATTGATGTTCCACTTGATAACATCGAAGCTCTTGCCTAGTTCCTTTGCTCAAGTATCTATACATATGAGCACCAGCAGACAGACTCATCACCAACTGGACTGCGATTAGGTTTACTTTGATGAGTTCCGAGAGTTTTTCTACTATCTCAGCCCGGCCATGAGCCAGGCTCGTCTGGTGTTTGCCTGGTCAGTCAGGCTGTTTGCTGCTGGTGGTCCACTGCCTCACATGTCTATCACAGCCTGATTGATTTGGCACCTGGTAAAGATACTTGTCTAGTTTCCTCTTGAAAACTACACTTGTCCCAGCCTCTCAGCGTAGTGTTTCTGCTTTCTCTGTGCCTGATATCTTCTGGGGATGATGTTGAATAGTCTGCGGAGCCGGACGTTGAGTCAGATTTCCCTTATTGTGCCCACCTCACCCCTGCTTTTCACTGGGTTTATTTTCCCTTTTCTCCTGTATCTCTCGAGCCATCATTATTCACACACAAAATGACCAGCTCAGATTTAACGTTCTAAAATGAACAATAAATCTTCTCTTGAACAGGATCTCATTAATCTTTTCCGATCTTTAAAATTTTCCGATGGTATTGTAAAACCAGTTATCACGTTGGCTTTGTTGTTACGAAGCGAGGCTAAGAATATAACAGATTGCCTGTAACACACGTCATGTGTTCTGATAATCGCAATGGAATCCTCTGTACCGACTCCGCAGCCCATGACGAAATGTTACATTTGAAACGGTTTGTAATTAACAAAGAACCCTTATGAAGGTGGGCGTTGTGTATCAGGAACCCTTGTGTGTGGTGGGGCTGGGGTGCCAGGAACTCTTGTGTGTGTGGTGGGGCTGGGGTGCCAGGAACTCTTGTGTGTGTGGTGGGGCTGGGGTGCCAGGAACTCTTGTGTGTGTGGTGGGGCTGGGGTGCCAGGAACTCTTGTGTGTGTGGTGGGGCTGGGGTGCCAGGAACCCTTGTGTGTGGTGGGACTGGGGTGCCAGGAACCCTTGTGTGTGGTGGGGCTGGGGTGCCAGGAACTCTTGTGTGTGGTGGGGCTGGGGTGCCAGGAACCCTTGTGTGTGGTGGGGCTGGGGTGCCAGGAACCCTTGTGTGTGGTGAGGCTGGGGTGCCAGGAACCCTTGTGTGTGGTGGGGCTGGGGTGCCAGGAACCCTTGTGTGTGGTGGGGCTGGGGTGCCAGGAACCCTTGTGTGTGGTGGGGCTGGGGTGCCAGGAACCCTTGTGTGTGGTGGGGCTGAGGTGCCAGGAACCCTTGTGTGTGGTGGGGCTGGGGTGCCAGGAACTCTTGTGTGTGGTGGGGCTGGGATGCTAGGAACCCTTGTGTGTGGTGGGGCTGGGGTGCCAGGAACCCTTGTGTGTGGTGGGGCTGGGGTGCCAGGAACCCTTGTGTATGGTGGGGCTGGGGTACCAGGAACCCTTGTGTGTGGTGGGGCTGGGGTGCCAGGAACCCTTGTGTGTGGTGGGGCTGGGGTGCCAGGAACCCTTGTGTGTGGTGGGGCTGGGGTGCCAGGAACCCTTGTGTATGGTGGGGCTGGGGTGCCAGGAACCCTTGTGTGGTGGGGCTGAGGTGCCAGGAACCCTTGTGTGTGGTGGGGCTGGGGTGCCAGGAACCCTTGTGTGTAATGGGGCTGGGGTGCCAGGAACCCTTGTGTGTGACAGTACTTGGGTGCAGTGAACCCTTGTGTGTGACAGTACTTGAGTACAGTGAACCCTTGTGTGTGACAGTACTTGGGTACAGTGAACCCTTGTGTGTGATAGTACTTGGGTGCAGTGAACCCTTGTGTGTGACAGTACTTGGGTTCAGTGAACCCTTGTGTGTGACAGTACTTGAGTACAGTGAACCCTTGTGTGTGACAGTACTTGAGTACAGTGAACCCTCGTGTGTGATAGTACTTGGGTAGAGTGAACCCTTGTGTGTGATAGTACTTGGGTACAAGGAACCCTTGTGTGTGATAGTACTTGGGTACAAGGAACCCTTGTGTGTGATAGTACTTGGGTACAAGGAACTCTTGTTTGTGATAATACTTGGGTACAGTGAACCCTTGTGTGTGACAGTACTTGGGTACAGTGAACCCTTGTGTGTGATAGTACTTGGGTAGAGTGAACCCTTGTGTGTGACAGTATTTGAGTACAGTGAACCCTTGTGTGTGACAGTACTTGAGTACAGTGAACCCTTGTGTGTGACAGTACTTGAGTACAGTGAACCCTTGTGTGTGATAGTACTTGGGTAGAGTGAACCCTTGTGTGTGGTAGTACTTGGGTACAAGAAACCCTTGTGTGTGGTAGTACTTGGGTACAAGAAACCCTTGTGTGTGACAGTAGTTGGGTACAAGAAACCCTTGTGTGTGGTAGTACTTGGGTACAAGGAACTCTTGTGTCTGATAGTACAAGGAACCCTTGTGTGTAATGGACTTGGTACGAGAAGCCCTTGTGGGCGGTGGACTTGGGTACCAGGAACCTTTGTGTGTGATAATACGATAGTACTTGGGTACAAGGAATGCTTAGTGTGATGGTACCTGGTACAAGGAATGCTTGTGTGTGATGTACCTTGGTACAAGGAACTCTTGAGAGAGATGGTATTTAGGTACAAAGGACCGTTGTATGTGATGGTATTTAGGTACAAAGAAACCTTGAGTTGGGTGGGACTTAGGCAGGCTAAATTTAGTAGCTCATGGATAATATAAATCCTAATGTTTAATGGAGTACTGACACAATTAATCCTCTTGTTAGGTGGGAGCTGGATACGTGAAGCATTTAAATTTGGTTGTAGTTCTGTGCTGTAACTGTTATGTTATTTGGTTGTAGTTCTGTGCTGTAACTGTTATGTTATTTGGTTGTAGTTCTGTGCTGTAACTGTTATGTTATTTGGTTGTAGTTCTGTGCTGTAACTGTTATGTTATTTGGTTGTAGTTCTGTGCTGTAACTGTTATGTTATTTGGTTGTAGTTCTGTGCTGTAACTGTTATGTTATTTGGTTGTAGTTCTGTGCTGTAACTGTTATGTTATTAAGGTGGACAGTGTTCTCTTTTTTTTATGTGAACAAATCAATTCCTTTTCGTGATTTAGTTTAATAGAGTAACAATTTTTTTTTTGCTTTGAATATAACCTTGGTCCATTTGATTCGTATATATTATAACCTTGTTCCATCTGACTGGTATATATTATAACCTTGTTCCATCTGACTCGTATATATTATAACCTTGTTCCATCTGACTCGTATATATTATAACTTTGTTCCATCTGACTCGTATATATTATAACCTTGTTCCATCTGACTCGTATATATTATAACTTTGTTCCATCTGACTCGCATATATTATAACTTTGGTCCAGTTGGCTTAAATTTATTGTAACCTTGATCCATCTGACTAGAATATAACCTTGATCCATGTGGCTAGAATATAACCTTGCTCCATCTGAGTAGAACATAACCTTGGTCCGTCTGACTAGAATATAACCTTGGTCCATCTGACTCGAATATATTATAACCTTGGTCCGCCTTACTGGAATATAATCGTGGTACGTTTTACTTACAGAAGATTTTCACACGTGAATTTCAGGTCTTGTTTTTTATCCCGGTTGTTTCATCTCAAGCTTCGTATGATTTGTGTTACCATTCTGTACTCTTACATTATTATAATAAGTGTCTATCTTGACTTTACTCCTTGGTTCCTCCTTGTCTTCTTTCCTGTATATGATATATATTGAATATATTGTATTTCTGTAGTATATTGATAATATATAATCCTATATTAGCATATTATATTAGCTGTGAAAATATCTGCATGTTACTGTATATGAAATCTGTCAACTGTTTTTTTGTGATATAAGTAAATCCTAAAATAAATAATTATTTATACAGTTTTATATAGGATTTTTTTTGAGAGAGGGGGGGTTGAGGGAACTTTTCGTCTCACCCCAGTATGTATAAATTTATATGTAAATTATCCATTAACGAGGAGGCAGACACTGTCACCCAAACACAGAGAGAACAGGAGAACACAGTTAAAAACAGAGGGAAAAAAATAAATCCGAGAGAGTGCTAGATTTTTTCCCAGAAACATTGATTGAACAATAATGTACATATTTTTTAGGTTTTCTCTTATAGCATCACAAATGTATGTTAAAATACGTAATTACTTACACACACACACACATTTATATAATATATATATATGTATAATATATATATATATATAAATATATATATATATATATATATATATATATATATATATATATATATATATATATATATATATATATATATAATATATATATATATATATATATATTATACACACATATAGCAAGGTTGTTACACACAAGCCGACATCTTGTCCTCCTCCTCGCAAATTATTATCACACTTGCCACTCCTCATCCCTACAGTTCTGAATCCATTCACAGTCAATTTCCCCGACAAACCCACAATACAAGCTTACCCAGGAGCCCAAAACTGCAGCATTAGGGTAGTTAACACAGGGAAATCAATACAGGTGGGCAGCGCCCTGGGCACAACGGTTAGAGGCAATGGTTTCTTTAGCCAAAGTGATTTCCAACAATAACTACTCCCGCATCTTGATACCCAGTAAATAATTGGCAAAGTGTTACCCAGTAGCTGCAGCCCATCATCCGCTGGTCATGATAATCATGCAGTACCCCGGATAGCCAGGCAGATAAGGGATAATCAGACATTTATCCCTCGATAGCGACTTAGATAACGAATAATCATGTCCCGCCTCCCCCACACTGATAGCAAGTAAGATAGCGACGTCTGGTCAAAAAACATGAATTATAACTCGAGTAGGGATGACTTCTCCGGCAGGCCAGGGGAGAGTCAACCAGCTGGGTGGCGTCTACATCAACGGCCGCCCTCTGCCCAACCACATACGACTCAAGATCGTGGAGATGGCAGCCGCAGGTATACGTCCCTGTGTCATCTCTCGCCAGCTCAGGGTATCCCACGGCTGTGTATCCAAGATTCTCAATAGATACCAGGTAGGTGGGATTGCTGTGAGGGGGGATGCATGAGGGGGTGCAGGTGTGAGGGGTGCATCAGACGTGTGTGTGAGTAGGTGCATGAGGGGTGTGGGGTGCAGGTGTGAGGGAGGGTTCATGAAAAGCAGGTGTGAGGAAGTTCATGTGGGGTACAGGTATGAGGGGGCACATGAGAGGTGCAGGTGAGTGGTGAATAAGTGAAGTGGGGTGCGTAGGAGGGGGCATATGAGGGGTGCAGGTGTAAGGAGGGTACATGTGTGAGGGGCACATGAAGGGTGTAGGTATGAGGGGACACATGAAGGGTACAGGTGTGAGGGGATGAATAAGTGGTGTGGGGTGCAGGTATGAGGGGGTGTGCATGAAAGGTGGGGGATGATGGGTGGAGGTGGGAGATATCTACCCACCAAATTATACACATCTGGATGTGTTTGGAGGCGGTCGAGTCCTGGCTCCTGGTCTCGCTTCTTAATGTGACTCGTATTGACAGGTTTCACTGTTTTCTGACTTCCTGGACTCGATCACACCCACTCTTGAAGCTATGTATAATATTTGCCTCCGCCAGCTCTTTATCTAACGCATTCCACTTATCCACTATCCAATAACTGAAAATTTCTTCCTAACGTCCCTATGTCTCACTTTCGTCTCTGTCTCACCTGGCTCCCTTCCTTTCCGTGCATTTCAAACTCTAACAAGCTGTCCTAACAACTCCATCTACTCCCCTGAGTATTGTGCATGTTGTGATCGAATCTTCCCTGCCTCTCTTTTCCTCTAGTGTTGTTAGTTTGAGTTTCAGTCTTTCCTCGTGGTCCTCTTCCCTCAGTTCCCTCATCCTATGGAACTTTTCTAGTTTCTTTACATGCTAGAGCAGGTGTTGGTTCCATGCTGTCACCGTATACTCCAAAACAGGCTTAACGTACTAAATGAATCTCTGTTCACGTTCTTAATATGCTGGAGCTGCATATGCCGCAGAATAATTTTGGGAAAATGCTTACTTCTAAATCCTTCTACCTGTCTACAGCATATCTCCTCCCTGTTTGTATTCAGTGTCGGGTTTTCTCACTCTCCTATTCTCGTTACTTTGAAATTATTATTGAAATTATTATTAGAAATGAATTCAAGTACATAATTTCTTGACCATGTTTGAAGCCTGATCAAGTCTTCTGGGAATCTCTCCCTTTCCCTGAAGTTGTTTTCCTTCTCCGCATTAACTTCACATCATGTCGCACAGAGCAACATGTATGATTTAATTTCCTCTACCAGGTTGTTTACATATATCAGAAGCTACAGGGGTCCAAGTACTTTTTTTGTCCACTCCAACACCTCCATTATCACTTCCCTTTGTTTTCAGTTTGCTTAGTGTTCCTGTAGTCGCTTGATTAATTTCCCTGCTCCTCCTGCTTGCTCTTTCAGATTGTATAAATTTAGTGTGTGATACTATGTTAGAACATTCTCTCTCTCTCGTTTAATTTCTGTCATTCTGTCAGGAAACTTTGGCAGAATTGAATGAAGATTTGCCATCCTGAAACTCATGGTGGTTTTCTCTTAGGAATTATTTTCTTTCAAGGTGTTTAACAATTAAGTTTCTTAAATAACAAAAAATGGCACAATACCGTGACTGGAACGATACACAAATAACCCGCACATAAAAGAGAGAAGCTTACGACGACGTTTCGGTCCGACTTGGACTGTGTAAGTGTGACTTTGTCAATGGTCCAAGTCGGACCGAAACGTCGTCGTAAACTTCTCTCTTTTATGTGCGGGTTATTTGTGTATTAAGTTTCTTATTATGTTTTCTTGCACATAACCAAGTGCGTCAGATGTGTGGGAGTGGATGAAGGGTGATGATGGGTGAAGGTGTTTGAGGGTGCATCATGGGCGGGGGTGATACATGCTGACAGTAGTTAGTAATAGCAGTGGAGTGGAAATGGAATGAAAATGGGTCAGAGGCGAGGATGATAGTGGTGGTAGTAGTGATGGCGGTAGTGTCGGTAGCTTTTATGAGGGTAGTAGAAAGGGAGGTGGTAGGGGTAGTTGTGATGATGATAATGATAGTAATGGTGACAGTCATGCTGGTTGTGATGATGATGATAGTTGCGGTAATAGTGATTGTAATAGCGATGGCGTTAACGATGGCAGTGTTGAAGATCATGATTATAGCCGTGCTTATGGAGGCAAGACAAGGCAAGACAAGACAAGACAAGACAAGACAAAAAAGACAAGAAAGTTTAAGTAAGACGTGGGAGGCGGTGGTTAATGCAGGATGAGCGATGTTGACGAATATGGAGGTGGTTGTGGAAGTTTCTGGAACAGTTACTTGGGCAGAAGGAGACAGGACTGCAGGTGTAGTGAAGTTCACAACTTTGGGAAGAATCTTGAGGAAGTCAGCTGAAGGTGTTGAGTCAGGGAAGACGAAGGCAGGCATATTTATGGTGGTGTTGAATGTGCCTGGGTTGGCTGCATTAGCAAGGTGCCCATACACCATGCAATACAGCACCTTGGAAGGAACCGCGTCTGGAAGTGGAGAGAGGGAGTTGCTGAATAGAGATGGCTGTTGTGTAGCTTGAATAATTTTCTTGGTCTCAGACTGTAGTTTTGCTATGGCTGCATATGTCGTCGATTTGGAGCTGCTCTTCTTAGCTTCTTTAATTTTCTAAGACAGCTCTTCCTTCCTTAGTGGGCATTTGGATGCAAGGGTAAGATGAGTACCCTTGAAGTTTAGGCAGGTTGGAGTGGTATCGGTGGTGGAACAGGCTTTGGAATCGTGACCTTCTTTACTGCAGTTTGATCAGAATTTCATATCTTTAATGGGACAGTCGGTCGTTGAGTGATGGGTTTGAAATGAGCAAAACGTTCTGGTTTTGTGTGTCGTGGATAAATATAGTAGTAGGAGATGGCTAGGCCATCAGAAAACGCTTTGGTAGCCATATCGATGTTGGAAAAGGTGAATCTGACCATTGAAGAAGCGTTTGGAATTTTGGTGACATTGTCAATGGAGGCCCAAGTGTTTTGTTCCTCGATAGAGGTCATCAGGTCAACAGTTGATGGGGATGTGATCATCTTGTCCATCCTTTGGCCTAAAACAGAACGTTTCGCCAGCAGGAAAGGTAAAGGAGATACGTTGAATTGTCAGTCACTGAGTGTCTTCATTGCGGTGTCGTCCATGAGCTTTTATGCTTTATTGTCGTCAGTACAGACGACAATAAAGGAGTCCTTCAGAGAGTGGTTTGCTGTGAATTTAAACTGCAAGCAGGTCCTTACAGCGGCAGCAAGGGCTAGTTTGGTGGAGTCATTCATGACTCCTCTTGCTGGTTTAATCTTTATACGATAGGAAAGCATCGTGAAAGAGTAAAGGGGATGGTGTGTAGGTTCCAGATTCCCCTTCCCGACGGGGATCGAAGTGATACTGGAGGCAATGCAGATGAAATCCGTAGTGATTGTGTTATTAGTGGCAGTGCTGATGATCATGATGCTGCTGGTGGTAGTTTGGGGATCATGACGATAGTGGTGTAACAGATAATAGTGGTAGTAGTGGTGTACCTTTGAAGACCACCGTTGTGGTGGTAGAGATGTCAGTGTCGAAAATCACAGTGGTGGGAATGTTGGAGATTGTGATAACAGAGGTGTTAATGTAGCAGTGATGGTGGTCATTATGAGGATGTGGGACCTGAGGTACGGCAATGTTAGCTAACACCTAATTATCTGATGATTCCAAGACTACAGTCTCTTCACAGACCACAGCCTCCGCCCCAGAAAACAGCCTCCGTCACAGAGCTGGTCACAGAGCAACGGGAAGGTTGTTGAGCTGGTCCCACTGGCCAACAGTACAACAGAACTGCTTGTTGAGGTGGTCACAATGGACAACATAGCCACGGGAAAGGTTGTTGAGTTGGTCACACTGACCAACAGGGACGCTTGTTGAATTGGTAACACTGACTTCTAAAGCCACTTATTAAGATGCGTACTGTAACTGCCAGGTGCATCCACTGAGCTGGTCACACTTGTTACCATAGCTATTTTCTAAGCTGGTTTAACGGGACGTGCGATTCAAAGCCATTTGTTGAGGCGGTCACACTGCCAGCCAGTCACAACCAAGCTGGTAACACTGCCACTGGCTCCTCTGGTCACGCCGTCACCCTAATATTCATGAACCCTATTAAAACGAGACCAATTTGAAAATCACTACAACTTCACTCATGTGTTCTCAAAAGAGTGCTAAGTTTAATTGCAAAAATGTGTTATTATACCCATAAGAATAAACTAATTAATTCCTAGCGTTTAGTACTATGATGGCAGACAAAACTATTTCTGTTAGCTGAGAGTTCTCTTCCTTGATGCAGCTGCAGCTAGGTTATGGTGGATGACGCCTGGTGGCTGTTGTTACCAAAACAGTTTTTGTTGGAGCTTTTTTTGGCAACTTTTCCTTGGAAGAAGTTACTCAGTGGAAAAGAAATGTGTAAAAAATGATTAGAATTCCAAGAAAATTTGATGATTCCCAACTACCATGTAAAGAGCAATCTCATACTTTTATATTTTTTTGGGGGTCAAAATGAAGACACGGTGTTTATAAAAGTATTGAACGTCAATGCAGAGTTTTCGTGCACATTCCTGGCTGTCTGCAAAGTCACCGGAAATGTCTTAATTAGTGTTAATCACCTCAAGATCCAGGACCCAAGTGAGAGCTGAGTTTTGTGGTGTGTGTGTGTGTGTGTGTGTGTGTGTGTGTGTGTGTGTGTGTGTGTGTGTGTGTGTGTGTGTGTGTGTTTGTGTGTGTGTGTGTGTGTGTGTGTGTGTGTGTGTGTGTGTGTGTGTGTGTGTGTGTGTGTGTGTGAAATTTATGTACGACTCACGAAATCGTAATGACACGATTGCAGACAAACCATACCACGGGTGGGATTTGAACCCGCGGTACGAGTCTCAAAACTCTAGACCGTCGCGTTAGCCACGGTCTGGAGTTTTGAGACTCTCTTACCGTGAGTTCAAACCCCACCCGTGGTATGGTTTGTTTTTTTTATATACGAATGTGTATAAACATAAAAGAATTCAGGGAAATCGGTTAGCCGACTTCAGTCGTGGAGGTGGGAGGTGCAGTGTCTTCATTTTGAAGGAGGAATAAGAATGTTGCAGTTCTGAGAATGATCTGATCTGTAATGTCGGCATTCTGTCAGCAAGACAGCAATTGAATGAATGATGGTAAATGTTTTTCTTGTTGTTTTTCAGGGGGTCACCCCGCCAGAGTGACCCCCGAAGTTCAGAATCAATCACATAAAAGAGGTTAAGAGAATGTTAATACTAGTATTAGGAAGCAGATACACTTCTATCCGTGTACGAACTAACCAGACGTTCTTCCCGTGCCACGTGCAGGAGACTGGATCCATCCGTCCTGGTGTTATCGGTGGCTCCAAGCCTCGCGTCGCAACCCCGGAGATCGAACGTAAAGTGGCAGATTACAAGAAGGAGAACCCTGGGGTCTTCTCCTGGGAGATACGAGACAGGTAAGCTGAATGTTTTTAATCTTTAGTTCAAGTAAGATTCGTCAGGAAATAGGACAAGTGTTTCCTGACGCGAGTCTTAGTCATACGCTGATTCACCAACTATCTAAGATACTAATTTTACAAGTAAGTAAACCCGCAGCTCAACTTCACTACTAATAAATATTTTTTGTTTTCTTTTGTATTCAAAGGAACTTTTTTCACAAATGGTTACGTTACGTTGTTGAATAATTCAACACACTCGTTTTGAGTCTTCAGATAACGTGAGTTCTACTTATTGCCATCGCTGAATATAAATTATACATCCAAGGAAAGCGCAAAATCCGTAAGTGTCACACATCAGGTTTGATCCTCGCAAGGGAAGGGCAGCTCCAACCCTCCTGATCACACGTCCTTCACCGGTTCACAGGTTTTGGTATCGAGTCAAAGGGCGACTGTGATTTGTTTATTTAAAATATGTTTACTTTGCCTTAACTTTATAAAAAAGTACTTCAAATCTAAGTATTTTTTAAATAACTTGGATCATTGACAAAGTCACACTTTGTCAATGGTCCAAGTCGGACCGAAACGTCGTCGTAAGCTTCTCTCTTTCATGTGCGGGTTATTTGTGTAAGTATAATTTTTTTATCAGTGAAGCGTTGAACGTACTGAAAATTCTTCCAACGGTACTTACGTAATATTTAAGCGATATTACTTGTTATTATAGCGATATTACTTCATATTTTAGCAATATTATATGATAAATAAGCAATATAATACACGATATTTTAACAAAAAACTTAGTTTTGTTTTGGTAATACTTGTGGATTCAGTAATATTCTTTAATATTGCAATTGCACAAGTTTTTTTTACTACTTGTTTCTTAATATGAGGACAATACTTACGTTAGCAATATTACCAGTTTTTTTTATCGCAACATTAAATATTTTGGCGATATTCCTCGTTCTTAGAGCATCAGTACGTATTGTCTCAGCCACAAAACTAGTTATTATAGCACTTGTACCCAGTATTCTAGAAATATTTCCTGTAATTCCAGCGATAATTCCATTTATAGCGCTAGTTTCTGTTATTCTAGTCATCAGTCCTGTAATTGTAGATACAATTACAGTTTTTCCCAGTGATAATATTTATTATGTTATCTGTAATACTAGTCTTTACAGCGATAATTAGTTATTTTTCTTGTATTTCCTATTTATTCTCGCGATAACATTTGCTATATAAGCGATAATACCTGTTGTTTTAGCAATAATATCTGGTATTTAGGCGATAATACCTTTTGTTTTAGCAATAATATCTGGTATTTAGGCGATAATACCTTTTGTTTTAGCAATAATATCTGGTATTTAGGCGATAATACCTTTTGTTTTTAGCAAAAATACCTGCTATTCAAGGGGTAATGTATGCCACTTACGGGGTAATATATGCCATTTATGGGGTAATATATGCCATTTATGGGGTAATGTATGTTATTTAAGGGATAATATATGCCATTTAAGAAGTAATTCTGGTTATTCCATCGATAATTCCTGTTATTCACTCGATATTTCCTCTCATTCTAACGACATTTCCTGTTATTTTAACCGATACTTCCTGTTATTCTCTTTGTATTTCTCTTATTCTGTCATATTGTATCTGTAATTACTTTTAATATATCGATAATTCTTGTAATTATAGTGATGACTCTCGTTACTTCACCTATAATTTCTGTTGCTCTGGCGATAATTCCGTTAATGCATCTCTAATTTCTGTTTTATGTTGACCTTTCCTGTTACATTATCAATAATTTATGTTATTCTAATTATCATTCTAGTTTTGTAACTATGTATCCAGTTATTTAAGTGATAATTCCTGTTTTAAATGCTGTAACTCAGGGTATTATCTAAAAATTCTTGTCGTTAGACAGTAACAATGACACTTCCGTTTCTAGAACTGGCTCCTGTTGTTATATCACTAACTTCTGTTATTCTAGCGCTAACTTCTGTTATTCTAGCGGTAACTTCTGTTATTCTAGCGATACCTTCTGCTATTTTAGCGATAACTTCCGTTACTCTAGCGATGACTTCCGTTATTCTAGCTATAATTTCTATTATTCCACCGATAAATACTGTTATTCCAACGGCGATCTCTGTTATTCTAGATATATATTTTTTATTCTGATGATTATTTCTCTTATTCTAACGATAATTTCTGTTATTCTAACGATAATTTCTGTTACTCTAGCGATAATTTCTCATATTCTAACGATAATTTATGTTATTTTAACGATAATTTAGTTCTAGACAAAATACATGTTATTCTGGAGATAATTCTTATTTCCTTGATAATGTCTGCTATTTTCGAGGTAAGAAAAGATATTTCATGCAACAAATTGCTGACACTGAATGAAACTATATATTCTCTTACTTTACTAAGATAACATTAATTATTAATTAAGTTTTGATTTACAAATTATTCTATTGATTTTTCTTTATTGGAGACACACGCACACGCACACATACACACACACACACACACACACACACACACACACACACACACACACACACACACACACACACACACACACACACGCACACGCACACACAAGACCAGCTTTCTAACATTGACCAGGTTCTCTAACAGCATCACTAACATAAAAAACGCACAATGGTACATAGTAAGTTAGTTTAAATAATTCATTGTAAATTAAGACAGGTATGATAATTGGTAGTGGCTGTGGCTGAGCCGAGCACCACATGGCTTGTCTCACTAGTAAATGATGTCAAGATGTCTTTATGAGACACTAACTGCTAAGCTGAGTCCCGTGCATTTAATAGGATATTCCCAATTAGTAATTATCAACGGATAATTTTAACTTCAGGGGAAGTAAATAGTCATCATTCATGTACTTGTACTGATGTGTGAATTACTAACCTCTTGAATTGGTTTATTCATTGTGTTTTGAAGCAAAATGACAATAAATAATTGGCTCTACTTAAGAAAAAATATGTAAAAAATTATTCATTTTCTCTGTGAAAATATCATCCACATACCGACGCCACACATGATGGATTAATGTTAAGGAGAGTAATTGTCTTGAGGTACTCCAGGTAGTTAGTTAAGAGAGAACTATCAGTACTGCAACTTAGTTTTGCTTCAAACGTTTACCACTGAAAGTAAGGCACTAGCGGTCATAATTTGAAGTCAGTATTCCTTATGGTGAAAACGGAATTCCTATTTAAATTTAATATTCTTTTGTTGTGAAGATACAGATGTTAATTTTTCCCAGATAAATCTTTTGAGTGAATAAGGTGTCATTAAAAAATGGAATAGGAGTCTATTTACCATTTAGCAAATTTGTAGGAAAAATTACTACAGTTTGAAATTATGGATCTCAATGCAACGATATCTTTATGAGTTTTGGAGAGACCATAAAATTATAAAGGTTTGGTTTCGTGTTGGTTTTTGCAACATTTCGTAATATTTTTTTTTCTATGCATTTTCTAATGGTTTTTGGTGAAATTAGAACTAACACAGATAAACATTTTTTTATTGATTTTTTCGAATGCTTCATTGCCCACAGTGTGGTCAGCTATCCAGGCTCTCACGTTCACATGATACAACACAACTTGCATTAGTTAGTAACTTCAACATGGGTAGATTTGAAGTAACATCATTATTTGCAAAATACCACATTTCTGACTAGCTAGATTTTCTGCCACTACCCATGTTCACCATTAACGACCTGAAACAGGATTATGCAAAACCCGTAAGGCAGAGAAAATAACACTTAGGTAAAGTAATAATGACATAGTTACCCCTAAATAGTGACTTCATCGAGTCAATCTGATTTTATAACGCCTCTATGGAGACCAAAATTTGTTTTTAATAAAGACGTTTGCTGCACATATGAACTCAATAAAATCTATATTACCAAGAAGTTTGGTATGACAATGGGAATAACTCTCAAATTGCCATATTAGACTTGACCCTTTTCACTCCCACACCCGAGCTTCATCATACCCACACCAGATCTCCCTCGCACCCACACCCGAACTTCCTCACACCCACACCAGACCTCCCACACGCCCACACCCGACCTCACTTCTTTCCCACAGAAAATTTATCACATTAAACAAAAAATGGGCATGAGAACCAATTTAGGAAGACGGTACGAGGCAAAAACCTGATAAAGGAGGACAAAGGAAGCGGGCAGAGCGTGGAAGAGAATAAAGAAACGAAGATTGTGCTAGTCATCCACCTTAAACAATAGAACTAAATTTTTGGCTGGGGACAACACACCAGAGACGGGGGCAACGGCGCTCTCAAGCCCATGTGATGCCACACCTGGGGGAAATATATATATGTATGTACGTATCTATCTATTATATATATATATATATAATATATATAATAATATATTATATATATATAATATATATATATAATATATATATATATATATATATATATAATATATATATATATATTATATATTTATATTTATTTATTTATCTGGTGCCGAATCGGTGAAACCTGCGATTTGGGGTTAAATAGCAACGGTCTTCTTGCCTAATATGGTTAGCGAAAATTTATGTATGCAATAATCTCGCAAAATTCATTCTGAACCTAACGAAAAAAAATATATTTAATTGTGTTTGTTTATTATTAAATTATTGTAAATTATCTAAAATATATTTAGTTGGATTAGGCTAAATTAAATTGCGATTGTTATAATAAGGTTAGGTATGTTTTCTAAGGTTCTTTTGGTACATAATTAATAATTTTTACATTAACATAAATGAAAAAATTCTGTTTAAGCGTATAAGAGAAAATTTTAGAAATGACTTAATTTTAAATGAGTTCTTGCAAATTGACCAGTTTTACCTATTCGGCAAGTATATATATATATATATATATATATATATATATATATATATATATATATATATATATATATATATATATATATATATATATGTATGCATGTCAAGTGACATCTCAGAAACCCTCCTACCCCATAT